AATCTCTCAATTTTTTTAATCGCATCACAGCACTAGTAGTAACACAAGCACAGTACATCCTGATCTCCAATTTGTTCCTACTTTTTCTTTTAACCCGACCGTTATATCATGAACACAGACTCCTGGTCAATACACTGACACTTTGTATGTTGAAATCACAAACATTCAAATATTTAATCGTTCATTTATTCAGTATAAATCTTTCTATCAGAACTTCGATGATCATGTTGGTTGTTCTATTTTCACTCTGCCTGTTATACATTTTTTGGCCACTTGATGGCGCCGTGGAACAAATAACGCACCTTGAAGCATCGGCTCAAGAGTCGAGCAAATGGACGGAACGATTCTAGTGCTTCATCTCAACATCACGACCGACTACACCAGGGATGAGCAAACTACGGCCCGGGGGCCATATGCGGCCCTTTAAACCTTTTAATCCGGCCCGCCGAACTTGAATAAATAATAATAATAAACCTTGTTAATGTTTTATTTTTCTTGCATTTCCGGCGTTTCCCAGTAGATGGCGCACTATATATACACTGAGGTGCGGCGGCTTCTGTTGGCCGCAATGCTTTATGGGAAAGTATTGACAGGAGTCATTTTCAGGCGGTGTATTCGGACCATGAATGAGGTAGAAGTGTTGAAGACATAAGACTGCACTAGTTTTAATCTGTTTGTGTACAAATTAAATTTCACAACCGATATATGTCATAATTCGGAACATGACATATTGAGTATCCGTTCTGTGGCTATCTCACGTGAAGGTGACCTCTGTATGATGTACTTGTTCTTGAAGTGTGACTCAGTTTGAGGGATGTAAATACTTGTGAGATGTGCTGGTGCAGGGCCCATACGAACCAGTGACAAACCTACAGTTCCAAAATGGCCGCCCGTTCAAATTGATGAGCTGAGCTCAGTGGCGCATGATCCCAGATTACCCTGGCATAGCTAGGTACTTCCGGTGGCTGTGGGCCGACCGAGCATGCGCAGTAGTGCTCTTATCTCCCAAGGGCACACGCGACCACACGCACGGGAGAGCGGGCTCGTGTACCACGTGATCATTTTGACCAATCAGAGCGAGAGGAGCTAGAGCGGAGCAGGAGCTAACGAATATAAAGCGTTTTTTTAAGACAACTGAAGGATTTTGAGCGAGAAAAAGTTTATGATCTAAAAATAGGTAAAAATCGCCAACAAATCCGATATTTTTGAAAGCTGTAGGTGACCTGTCAGACGAACACGAGCAGTTTGTGATTACATTGCCTCTATGAGAAAAATCTTGTCTCGGCCCATGGGATTTTTTCTGATGAAGTTCCAGTGAGTCACTACGTCAACTGGAGGCAGCTACAAGCAGCAATACTGTATCCAGTTATTTAGTGCCCGGTGACCTTATGCAGCCATTCAAACTGACCCACAGAACTTGACCAAATTATAATAAATAAACCTTACTGCTGTTTTATCTTTCTTGCATTTCCGGCGTTTCCCGGTAAGATGTGCACTATATATACATTGAGGTGCGGCGTCTTCTGTTGGCCGCAATGCTTTATGGGAAAGTATTGACAGGAATCATTTCGGGCGGTGTATTCGGACCATGAATGAGATAGAAGTGTTCAAGACATAAGGCTGCACTGTTTCCGCTTTAAATCTGTGTAAGGCAATGTCATGAAATTCATGTTCATTGTCTTAGAAAGTCTGGACGGTTTGGTTAAACTACGCTTTAGCATGAGCTTTGTGTTGTTTAAGTGCTCGGGCCATTGGTGTGCAGTGGGGCAGACCTCGTTTCACTTTTCATGAGGTCTGGAACTTATCGAAAAGTTGCAGCGTGTAGTGCAGAATACGTCTTACGTGAGAGTAAATACGAGTGCAATGGAGCCGAGCTCTGAACACGTCATGTCATGTCTTCTGTCCGGCCCTTAAGTCACATTTTAGAACCCAAAGTTGCCCCAAGCCCACCCCTTGACTACACTGTGCAAAAAACGCATAGAAAACCATAATTCAAACATACATGGACAAACTATGAGACAAACACACACAGATAAATTCCGAATAATGTCCGATGCTATAAATGCTACATTTGTTCTAGTCTTTAACATGAAATACTTACATCATTATATTTACTTTTAATCAAGTTGAAACGGAAACAGTGCAGCCTTATATCTTGAACAGTTCTACCTCACTCATGGTCAAATACACCACCCGAAAATGTTTCCTGTCATTACTTTCCCATAAAGCATTGCGGCCAACAGAAGATGCCGCACCTCAATGTATATATGTACAGTGCGCCATCTTCTGGGAAACGCCGGAAATGCAGGAAAAATAAAACATTAACAAGGTTTATTATTATAACTTATTCAAGTTTGGCGGGCCGGATTAAAAGGTTTAAAGGGCCGCATACGGTCCCTGGGCCGTGGTTTGCCCACCCAGGGGTGGAACTGGAATAAATTACAATAATAAACCTTGTTAATGTTTTATTTTTCCTGCCAACACAAGACGCCGCACCTCAATATATATATATATATATATATATATATATATATATATAATATATATATATATATATATATATATATATATATTGAGGTGCGGCGTCTTGTGTTGGCCGCAATGCTATATGGGAAAGTGTTCTTACAGGAGGTATTCGGACCATGACTGAAGTAGAAGGCTACACTGCTTCCATTGTGGTTTGATAAAAGTCAAGTAAGGGGAAGTTGTGCATTTTATGTGTAATACGTGGAAAGACATGTACCTGAAGATAGAGCGTCGTTTCGCTGCATGTGCAGGTGTATATGGCTACATTCAGACTGCAACCTGAAGTGACCCAAATTGGATTTATTGGCTTCTATGTTACTGTATCTGATCTTTTAATGACAGTCTGAACGGCACAGAACCGATATATTCAAATGTGACTCAGGACACTTGGATATGTGCTCCTAAAACTGATACACATCTGATCTTTTGACATGTGACTTCAGTGTGAACGGCCAAAGTGCATTCATCCACCTACACGTTATCAATAAGACACAAACGTCACTATTCTACACTGAAGCAGGTGGAAACCAGAACTGTAAAATCTCCAGGTGCTCGATGCTGCGTCCATGTTTGGACAACTTCCGTAAACACAGAGCACATTCGCTGCAGTTGACGTCGTCGTGTCTCCAGTGTCACATGTGGGACACTTTCGGGCCGTTTAATGTTCACACTGGAGTCACAGACAAGTCGCATTTAATTGGAAATGTGAACGATCTCGCAAAAACATCGGATTTGAGCATTAAGCCCTGCAGTCTGAACGTAGACTAACTGTTCTACTGTGCGATGTGAGTGTAGTGCCCTGAAAATTAAAATGCAATATTTCTGTTATAAAATTCATAAGACTAAATTCATGTTTCATTTGAATAGCTAAAATAATTTTCATTTGATATAAATACATACTTCATTGATAATATTCTTTGTTCTATGATTTCATTGTACCTATATAATAACAGGGTACTTACTGTACTGTTACTTTAAGAATGTGAGACAAAAGGATTTATGGGAAAAGCATTTTCTTCTTCGTTGTTAGAAAAAGAGGCAGAAAAATGAAACATACTTGTTAACACATGAACCGAAATCTAAAATTAAATTTGCCCAAAAGCTAAAATGAACGCGAGTCTTGTCGTTCATTTCGGGGGTGCAACATGAGCTGTGTTTTTGAGCTGTGTTTCAGTTAGACTGGAGAACTGTTGGCTCATTCACCTGTGGTTTGCAGTGGAACAGATCTGAACACTTTCATGTGTTCTGCATCTTTCGTGGTGATATTGTAGCGTGTAGTTGCGTGTCCTACATAAGCGTAAATAGGAATGTAATGAAACCTCTTAACACGTTATGTTCTGTTCTTCTGTCTTCTCCTTCAGTCAATTTTTAGGACCCTATGTGGCCCGCGAGCCAAACACTTTGCCCACCCCTGTTCCACACTAAATAATACCACAGTTATAAACACCTGGCTCAGACTGATGTGTGTCACTCTGAACTGAGATCTACACTTTTATCTGAATCGGCTCTGGCTGACAGAGATCTGGACCTGTCAGAACATTCAGACAAATTCTCCAGGCTGATTGATCAACCAGGGGAACAAGCCGAGAGATCAAAGTTTAGTTGGAATAAAAGTACAGACATCTGTCCCTCCCCACGTGCACAGTGTTTCTGTCACGGGGCTGTGAGTCTCTTCACCCGGCTCTTGTTCGCCAGTTTTCTGTCTGCACATTCCCAGTACACCCATACCATTAAATTCATCTTGGTGGGCCCCATACTACATGTGAAAAATGCACATTACACATTTGTGAGGGGCCCCTCTCTGCACTGGACCCTCTGGAAACAGCTGCCTTTACCCCCCCAGTCCATCGCCTCTGCCCAAAAGAGCACTCATCTCAGGCCATAGTCACTTTTGTGGTGCTTGATGATGGCTCTGAAAAGTCCATCATCCTTTCACAGGAAGAACAGCTACAACTCACCAAGCGGCCTCAAACTCGAGGGGGCTACAGCACAGGCCCAAATGTGGTCTGAGGTGGACTGGCCCACCCGGCATTTGCCCGGTCGTACAGATTGCCATTCTGAGTTTGCCTTTAATAATCTGTATAAGACTAGACTGGTCTCTATAGGGTCAGAGATCAGGTCTCATCAGTCCTGTCTCCAAACACTGAAACACCTTTGGCACAGAAATACATTTCCAAATGTCAGCGAGAAGAATGTATCTTTTTCCAAGCAGGACCAGCGCTCACCCTTTACAGACCACCTTTCTCGACACAAATGCACAAAATGCTTCCATTCAGTCAAGTGCATGTTTTTCAAAAACAAAAATGTCACTAACTTAACAAAAATAAGCCTGAAACAATTAAACACTAACGCAGCAGAAATAAAATTCATGTTAAGAAATGACACTGGAATCAAAAAGTCTGTTGACATTTTTTTAACTTTTAAACACAAATGCACCAAGATAAAAAAAAACAACAACAGTGTAATCAGTGGGAAAAGCACATTTATAAAACAAAATAAAAAACAAAATCAGTCACATGAATGAGAGTGAAACATGTGAAACATGAGGCTGAATCAGGACACAGTTTCCAGACTGTTTATATCATCACTTATTTTTAATTCACAATCATGTTATTCACAGTTGGATATTGCTGCAACATTCACATTTAGACAAGCTTGCCTACATAGACAAGAGACTTATAAAGATTTATTTAGTCTTCACTGTATTATAATTTAATACTGATAATGTTAAAGTGTCTGCACTGAACTGTGCATTGGACTCAGACTCTACTAAAATAAATGTGTTTAATAATAATAAAAGTGTTTAGACTCGTGCTCTGCCCTCGTAAAACGGGATCCAGAGGAGTTCACTTTTCAACTTTTTCTGCACAGAATCATAGATCTTGTGCATCGAGTCGATCTCTGACCTCCACAGAGCGGCTCTGGCTCTGATGGACTTTGAGGCGTGAGTGTCAGCGACTCTCTGCAGATCTGTGACAAACACATCCACACCAGTGAAAAGTACATCTAGAGAAATGAACGCACCTCTAGCAGCTTTGCCAGTGGTCACTGCACCATCGGCGTTTGCTTTATTCAGCTCTGCAATCTTTTCCATTACACTATCGGCTTTAACACCAGCTGCTAAATCATCGATCCTGAGATTCTGGGCTCTGAAATTTTCTTGGATATTCTTAAAATGTTGTTTGATGACGTCATCCAGACACTTCTGCAGAGACTCCACATCTTCCACAAACTTTTCAAAAGTCGTTTCAGTCGTTTTCGTCTGCTCACTGTTGACTACGGTGACCACAGTGTGTGTTCCTGAAAAAACTCCAAGTCCAGCTCCAGCCCCAATCAGACCCACAGACGCCCCAAATGTGACAGGGATCAGAGCCAAACCCACGATGGACAGTGCCCCTCCCAGCAGCCCCACCGAACTGCCCACCACACTGGAGATCTGTACCACTTTCGTCATGTTGTCTGACTTCACTGCACAGATCTCTACATCCTCCAGAAACTGCAGCATCTTCTTCTTCCTCTGTCTGAACTCGTCCATGAAGGTTCTGTGTTTGTCCTGGAACAAGAACACTGTCCTGAAGTGTTTGTCATCCCTGGAACAAAACATGTAAACTGTAAAATTTAAACTGTACACAGGTTTGAAAGACGATATTTGCAATTATGTGGGACTCAAGATCCATGGGACTTGGACTGGACTCACACTGGGAGACCTGAGGCCTCGACTCTAACTCGTCCAAAGTGACTTGGACTTGGCTTGGACTGATCAATGTAAATCAAACCTGCTCTGCTGTAGCTGAAGCTTAACATGTTGAACTGGGCATGTGAACATGTTGTGTGTGTTGTACCTGATTTCTTGGAGCAGATTCAAGTGAAGAAACATCTGCTCAATGTCACCTTCAGATACTCCTGACAGATCCACATCAACTGAATTACTGTCCAAACACAAATCTGTCAGGGATTCTTGTCTGAGGAAACCACAGATGTGTTTGATGTTTGTGATGTACTGTTTTAGCTGAACCTTCATCACTTCCAGATTCTCCAGTTTGGGGCTGAAGAAAGCTGCATTGTCTCGTTTGAACGAGAGAAGCAAAGGACTGATGAGCTGACAGACAGATATGATCCTCTTCACTGACTCCAGATCAGTTTCTTCAGACAGCAGTTCAACCAGGTTCTGGTCAAACACATGAGCTGAAGTCACTGCTAACTTCTCCACTGCCTCCAGAAAGATCTGCATCTCCTTCAGACCCCTCAGAGTCGGCTCCAGTCCCTCCTTCAGACCAGCCTCATCTCTGTAGCCGCTCTCTGGGTCCTTTTCTGCTCTTCTCATTTTCTCTGACTCCTCCTCTCTTTTCTTTACCCAGTCAGAGCTTCTGTTGATGAAGTCTGTCACTGTGTGAACGTCAGAGAAGATAACAGAGACGTACTGTCTCAAAGACAGATTCAGTTCATCCCTGAAGAACATAAACACATTAAATCATTATGACTTTGATGAACTTTAACCTTTATATTAAGACCCTGGTTAAACTAACAATAAACTGTAACAGAAACAACAACTGTGAGCAGTTTGAATGAGCTTAAAGTGACAAACATTTCCCTGCCCCATTTTTCTCCAGAGAGTGAGGCTCATGTTGGTGGAGACACTCAGACTTTGTTCTGGGGAAACCCTGGCCCCTCCCGGACCAGCTCAGAGCTCTGCCAGGCCGGAGGAGCTCTGTGCTCACGCCCACTGCTGCAGGCGCATGGTTTGGAAGCCGGAAGGAGGAAACTGTTTATCTAAAGCTTCCGAGACCTGAAAATCAGGCTTGACGAGAAAGTTTGGTCAGGGTTGCTGAGAGTTTGTTGACATAAATGCCTCTTGTAATGTAGTGCAAATACGTGCTCAAAAATTAAAATTCAAAAAATAAATTAAGCCAAGAGCAGAAGCAGCTCCACCAGACCCACGTACCACAGTTTGAGAACCACTCGTCCATAATTCAAAGCTGCTGTTTCAGATATTTTTAGTAGGTGCCATATACAACAGTTACTTTTTGTAAACATTTGAGAAGTACATTTCAAAAAGACAGTAATAATAGTAGTAGTAGTAGTAATAAGTGCTCAGGCTCACACTGTTCCCCCTCACTGTATTTATATCTGATCAGTATTTACACTAAGAAATAATGAAAGGATCCACAGTACCTCGAGTCAGACATGTCGGCATCTCTCGTCATTCTGCTTCTGGCTCCTCTCAGGTGTCACTTGAAGCACGTGTGTGGGCGGGGCTTTCATCATGACACTTTCAATTCCCCTGATTTTTTATTTTTTTTGTCTTTTAAAGCGTCACATTCTGAAAAGGACAGGCTTTTGGATTTTACCTACATGGTCAAACTTAAAAGAGCTTATCTGATTTATGAGGTCCTACACTCCCTCGCACCACCACCGCGAAAGCAGAACATCAGACGCAAAAATGTTTCAGAAAGGACCACGCGAGCCAGGACCAGGACCAGACTTGACCTGGACAGACCCACAGACGGACCAACAAATGTTTTATCTGTCCAAGGTGGAAATCTGTGGAACAGTCTCCACTAACACTGAGAGAGAGAGTCCCATGTACAGCTCTTTAAAAGCTCTACTGAAAAACTGGTTATTATTGCACAATGACTGGACTGTGCAATAATTTGGAGTGTGCAATACTGGGAACAGTGTAATAGGTGGAGTGTGCAATACTGGGGAATGTGTAACGAATAAAGTGTGCAATAATGGGAACTGTGCAATGAGTTAAGTGTGCAATAATGGGAACTGTGCAATGAGTTAAGTGTGCAATAATGGGAACTGTGCAATGAGTTAAGTGTGCAATACTGGGAAATGTGTAATGCGTTTAATGTGCAATAATGGGAACTGTGCAATAAGTGGACTGTGCAATAATGGGAACTGTAATAAATGGAGTGTGCAATACTGGGAAATGTGTAACGAATAAAGTGTGCAATAATGGGAACTGTGCAATGAGTTAAGTGTGCAATAATGGGAACTGTGCAATGAGTGGAGTGTGCAATAATGGGAACTGTGTAATGCGTTTAATGTGCAATACTGGGAACTGTGCAATAAGTGGACTGTGCAATAATGGGAACTGTAATAATGGAGTGTGCAATAATGGGAACTGTGTAATAACTGAAGTGTGCAATATTTTATTGTTGGACCCCCAGTGATCCCAGCCCTTTGGGACAACAGATGGAAATGAGCCTTAGGTGACAATCCGGTGAGTTTACATTCATGTTGTGTCATGTTTGTTCATTAATATGCTCTGATCTGATCAAATAAATAAATAAATAATAAAGTATAGTCAAATTTTCTTTGTGTTTTGATCGTTTTTAATCAGATTTTTTTGTATTTAACCTAAACAAATGACAATTTATGTCTCTCTTTACTGTTGGCAGGGATTAAATTGGTCAAAAATAGAGACACCTGGGACATTTCTTGTGTAAAACTGGGACAAATCACTGGTTTTATATAAATTTGCTGGGACGGGGGACACAGGACTCAAAACTGGGAGGTGTGAGGTGTTCCTGCAGCGGATGAGTAGAGTCCTGTTCTGTGGAGAGTGCAGTGCGTCTAGTGGCCCTGCTGCTGTTAAGATCTCAAAGACTGGGTGTGGGGAGTGTCTGTCTCTGCAGAACACTTACCGTCCTGCTCTGTGTCTGTTGTTACTGTCTGTTGCTGCGTTATTTATTACAATCTCAATAAACAAGACAAACAAGGTAAAAATACAATTAAAAGAAGACAAAATAAAAGCCAGAGACTCCCTTTATAAGCTGGAGTTTTTAATAAATAAACTGGATGGATATAAATTCCTGAAAATAAAACAAGCAACATTCAATTGGCTTTTTTACAAACACAAAGGCAAATTGTGAGGTGATTCAACTTTTGTAAACCTGAAATTTAAAATTCAAAACAAATAAAACTGCTCAGTCCTTCTCTTGTCTCCTCTGTTTCCGATGTCCTTATCTCCTACCTCCTTTCCTTTATCGTTCTTCATTATCAAATGCAGATTGTGAAAACTGCAAAAATATTTAAAGAGGGGGTATTAACTGCTAACACGTCACATAGTCAGATCCCCATGTTATATTTTATTTGAAAATGCTATATTTTCACACATTTAATAGGTTTTCAATTTAGTTTTTGATGGTCTGTGTCTCTCCTCCCTTTCCTCCCCTTGCTAAGTTACTCCCCCTTCAGAGCGCTGTCACAACTCAATCAGTGTGCATCCCACTAATGAAACTACAGCAAATCACGTCAGTTTTGTGTCATGTTTTTGTATATTTATGGAGACTTGTCGTGTGGGAACGTGGGCGACGTAGGTCCTGACGTAGGACTCGTACGTCTAAAGGGCGAAGTACAGTTCTGCGTCGACTCAATGCGCCCTGCCGCCATCGCCTCAGCAGAACACCCCTCTGTCATATTCAGTCTGAGTTGTGTCCTTTTTAAGTCCGACAGAAGCTGAATCGCGTCAGCACAAGCAGTGAGCTGTTTTTTTGAATGCAGAGTTTATGCAAATGAGCCATGCGGTTTAAAGTTTTATTTCTGTAAAACGTAAACAAATGTGCTCAAAGCTGCACTAAACACATTAGATAGAAAGGACCAATCACAGGCCTTATCGTCTGCATCGCTTCCCCTGCTTTCTGCGTCGTTTCAACGCATAGTTAGAAAATTCCCGAGGTGCAAGTCGGTCGACGCAGACGCTCTGCGTAGGGGTTCATGTTGACGCAGACTCTCCACGTCGTGGTGCAGACGATTTGACGCTGGACTGTAAATTGGCCTTAACTCATTCGACTGGGTCGAGACCCTCAGGTGGGTCGCAAGAGATTTTTTTCTCCTTGTCATGATCTGCATATAGATCTGTGATGTACAGTTCTGACACATGAGGGAGGGAGTCAGGGAATATCTGCTCTGAACGAGTGTTTCTGCAACTAAAGTTGAGAAATGTTGCTTGGTTTGTCCAAAAAGAATATGATAAATCAGCAAAGTGCACTTCAGGTTCAATTACTGAGTAATTTTAACTGTTCAGTGACACGATCACTCAGTCAACAATAAAATATTCTCATAAATGTTCAATAATGGTCAAATCCACCTTTATTTTGTGATTTATGAATAATGTCTATTGACTTGGGTCGCGAAGGTTTGTGACTTTTAAAATATGGGTCCCCAGAAAAAAACTTTGAGAAACACTGATCAAACTGTAATAAGGGTTTGAATAGGGCCCGAGAGAGATCACTAGATTACTCAAACATGCCTGGATGACTCTAAACCCTCTTCAGGCGTGTTTTCGATACGGGAGAAACCTCCAAATACCCCCTCTTTAAACATCAACTGACTTATAGGTGAAGTCATCAAGTCTCAGTCGTTCTTCTTTTCCTTTTTCCTTCACTCCTCTTTTCTTCGTTTCTTTGTATAAACACTGATATTAACTTGTGGCACTAGGATACACTGGATTTCTGCGAGTGGTTTACTGTTCGGTAAAAGGCATAAAAGGCTAAAAACATCAAAATAAAGCTGTGACCAAAAAACATTCAAATATTTAAAGACAAAATCAGTGCAAAACTCGAGTGTTTGATCGTGACGAGAGGAGAGTGAAGCAGGTTTAAAACGGTGCCTGTGTGACTGGTCCTGGTCCTGGTCTGAGCCCAGTTTAGTCCTGGTGTAAACTTTTGATCTTGGTCTAAATCCTGTCCTTGTCTAGGTCTAGTCTTGGTCTAATCCAGTTCTAGTCCTGACATAACCCTATTTTTAGTAATGGTCTAATCCCAGTTTTTAATCGCTGGTCTAGTCCTGGTCTAATCCTGTCCTAGTCATGTTCTAGTCCTAGTTTTTAAGTCCTGATGTAGTCCTGTTTTAAGTCCTGTTTTAGTCCTGTCCTAATCCTGCTCTAGTCCTTGTCTAGTCCTTTCCTAATCCTGTCCTGTTCTAGTTTTTAAATCCTGCTGTAGTCCTGTTTTTAAATCCTGTCCTAGTCCTGGTCTAGTCCCACTCTAGTCCTGCTCTAATCCCGATCTAGTCCCAGTCTAGTCCCACTCTAGTCCTGTTCTAGTCCCACTCTAATCCCGTTTTAGTTCTGTTCTAGTCCCGCTCTAGTTCTGCTCTGGTCCTGGTCTAGTCTTGCTCTAGTCCCAGTTTACTTCTTTTCTAGTCCTACTCTAGTACCACTCTATTCCCCCTCTAGTCCTGCTCTAGTCCTGGTCTAGTCTCGCTCTAGTCTCGCTCTAGTCTCGCTCTAGTCCCGCTCTAGTCCCGCTTTAGTTCTGTTCTAGTCCCGCTCTAGTTCTGCTCTAGTCCCGGTCTAATCCTGCTCTAGTCCTAGTCTAATCCTGCTCTAGTCCTGCTCTAGTCCTACTCTAATCCTGCTCTAGTCCCACTCTAGTCCCGCTCTAGTTCTGCTCCAGTCCTGGTCTAATCCTGCTCTAGTCCCACTTTAGTCCCGCTCTAGTCCTGCTCTAGTCCCACTCTAGTCCCGCTCTAGTTCTGCTCTAGTTCTGGTCTAATTCTGCTCTAGTCCCCCTCTAGTCCTGCTCTAGTCCCATTTTTGTCCCACTTTAGTCCTGCTCTAGTCCCACTTTAGTCCCGCTCTAGTCCTGTCTTAATCCTCTTCTAGTCCTGCTCTAGTTCCAGTTTACTCATGCTCTAGTCCCCCTTTAGTCCCGCTCTAACTCCACTCTAGTCCCACTCTAGTCCTGCTCTAGTCCCGCTCTAGTCCCGATCTAATCCTGCTCTAGTCCCGCTCTAGTCCCGCTCTAATCCTGCTCTAGTCCTGCTCTAGTCCCGCTCTAGTCCTGCTCTAGTCCCGCTCTAGTCCCGATCTAATCCTGCTCTAGTTCTGTTGTGAGTTTTGGTTTTATAATACTGCATATTTTCAACAACTCCACTAAGAAATCCTAAACTACGAGCATATTTTTGTTTTGTATATTTTTATAAGCGACGGAACGTTCTTTTAGTCAGATCAAAACATGTACTACAAATCTTTTCTGGTGCAGTGCCCGTCAATTTTTCAAGTTTTTTTCCCCCCAAAGGAGACGTTAAAATTTTGTTTAAAAAAAACTAAAATTTCTATCATCACGGAGCCCAAACTAAACCAAGTTACAGGTCAGATCTTTATTTTTTTGATCTGTAAATCCACTTGTAGTATAATAAATGTAGAAAAACAAACTTGTGACGGACGCTTTACCAGAAAAGTTACACAATGCACCTTTAAATGAACCTGCTTAACTCCCTCAGTGTGTGTCTAATACTAATATTGTCTCGTGTGGTTTACGTGTGAGTAGTGTGGTCGTATAAATGAGGTACATGCAGGTCCGTTCTCTTCACAATATTCAAGTTTGTCTTAAATAAATACAGGTTAATGCGGAGTAAATGTAAGAAAAGGTTATAGTCCTTAAGATCGGACGTCGCACACATCTCGGGGTTTTCGCTGCTGGATTCGATGGTGTAAAGTGAGTTAGATCGACACTGACTGGCCACGCGTTAGGTACACGAGCTCAGGTTTGCAGGAGGGCGAAGACCGAGAAAACAAGCGACGAATCAGATCGTACTTTTGCATAATATCAGACGTGTGCTGGAGCGTGAATGGACGGATAATTAAGCATAAAACTGAATTAAAAACATCTAATGCCGTATTTTTCGGACTGTAAGTGGCACTTTTTTCATGGTTTGGGTGTTTCCTGTGACTTATTCTCCAGTGCGACTTGTATAAAATGTTTTTCGTGAAGTGTGGAGAGGTTCTAGTCTTGTGTGTGAGTATCTGCTGCTCCTGTTCCTCCTGTACCACTGTCACTTCACTCTACTGCACATGTCTCCTGCAGAAAGAGCCTCTGTCCTGTCTGTATCATGTCAGTCGATCGCACCGTTACAAACTTATAAAGACGACTGAGAAGACTGAACTGAAATGCCCCCAAAAAAAAAATCTGATTTTGCAGATTACAAACTGCAAGTCGTGAAATCTGCAGCTGAAAACGATAATCAAGCAGCAGAAAGAAAGTTTGGAGTGAAAGGTCGCACGGGTCACGGGGGCAGCAGTCTAAGCAGAGACTCCCAGACTTCCTTCACCCCAGACACGTCCTCCAGCTCCTCCGGGGGGACCCCGAGGTGTTCCCAGGCCAGCCCAGAGACATAGTCCCTCCAGTGTGTCCTGGGTCTTCCCCGGGGCCTCCTCCTGGTGGGACATGCCCAGAACACCTCCCGAGGGAGACGTCCAGGAGGCATCAGAACAGATGCCCGAGCCTCAACTGGCTCCTCTCGACGTGGAGGAGCAGCGGCTCTACTCCGAGCTCCTCCCGTGTGACTGAGCTCCTCACTCTATCTCTAAGGGAGCCCCAGACACCCTGCGGAGGAAACTCATTTCGAGCGCTTGTATCCACAATCTCGTCCTTTCGGTCACTACCCAGAGCTCATGACCAGAGGTGAGAGTAGGAACGAAGACTGAGCGGTAAATTGAGAGGTAAATCCTGGTAAATCCCTCTTCACCACAACGGTCCGATACAGTGACCGCACCACTGCCGACACTGCACCGATCCGCCTGTCCTGGTCTCCTGGCTCCTGATTTTATCAAATAAATTTCCCCCCAAAAAGTGCCACTTATATATGTTTTTTCTTCTTCATGACATATTTTTTGGCTGGTGTGACTTATACTCCAGAGCAACTTATAGTCTGAAAAATACGGTAACCTGATCATGTTAACATAATATTACACGTAGTTGCTGATTATGGCATTTTGTCTCATTCGGTGAAGCTCCTGTGTGCTTAAAGACGCTTGTACCTGATTTTTACTGTCTTAACCCTTGTGCCGTCCTCAGAGGGATACAGAGGGGTACAAATGTGACCGGGTCAAATGGACCCATAGATCTATGGGTCCATTTGACCCGGTCACATAACAGCCATGTGACTTGGCCTTATATTGTCTCTGTTGTTTGTGTGCCTTGTGGTATTTATGCTCTTTATTTATTTGGAAGCTGTTTTAACCTCAGAGGGTTATATTATATCTGTACATTTGTACGTCTCTGTATCCCTTTGAGGAAAGCACAAGGGCTAAAAACATGAAAAAAGTAATTTTCATTTACAATTTGCAGAGGTTAAAATGTATTCCTCGCTTAAACCTTAACTGTTATAGTATCCAAATCCAAATCCACTTTTTTCTACAGCACATTTTACATGCAAAGCCGTTTCCAAAGTGCTGCACAGAAATCATAACATGAAGAGAACAAAAAGCCATATTTTTATAAGTGGCACTTTTTTCATGGTTTCATGGTGTTTCTTGCGACTTATAATCAGGAGCAATTTCTATATTAACACTTTCACACAGAAGCCGCGAGAGCCTCTAGTCTTGATTTAAAGTCTGGAGCGACTTATTGTCCGGAAAATACGGTAATCTGTGCATATATTCGCCACATCGTTTAAGACGCAGGGTTCAAAGTGTGAGAAAAAAGGAGCACCTTATAATTCAGAAAACACGGTAAATAGTTCACAGCGGAATTTGCTCAAATATGTGGACAAAAAAATCAGGTACAGGCACTTTAACGAGCAGGAAACGAAAAACTAAAAGCTATATCGTTAAAATACAACTACATAAAAATATAATAATAATAATTACGATGTGATTTCTGTTGGCGTTGGTCGGTCATTTCTCCGAGTGTTGTACCTAAAATCGTGGCCAGTTATTGTCTGCAGCAGTGACAGAATGATTCTTTATTTCTTTACACGGATATAACCAGCAGATATTTACCCATAAACCCCTGCTCTCTTTGTTTCGTGTCCTTCTGAGCCCCTCCTGTTTTGCTGTAGTTAAAGTGTTGTACCACAGTCTCTCTAGCGCCCCCTGTGTCCTGCGCCGCGGTCAGTCTCGGGTCTCGGGTCTCAGGGCAGCAGTCTCTCCAGCTCCTCGTCGCTCAGCTCGTTCACGGAGACGATGTGATCCAGGTGGGACAGATATTTGTCCGGGTCGGTCATGAAGTGCGGGATTCTGGTGCGCGAGAGGACGGCCAGAGAACGCAGCCGCTCCACGTCCTCGAAAGACACCTGCGGACACACGGACAACAGTTAAAGGTCCCATCTCATGCAAAATAACTCTTTTTCACATTGTATCTTCTGCACATAAACAAGCACAATTTGGGTTTTGGAACATCCATTACACAATAGTTATGAAATCTTACTGATTGGTGGCAGAAATACGCTGCAATTTGTTAAAAAAAACACCAAATCAATCTAATAACCACTTCAGAGACAAATACAAGGCCCACCCATCACACTTAGAAGGTAGAAAGCTCTGAAAAGTTAATTTTGCATGAGATGGGCCCTTTAAACGACCCGATGAACCTGATTTTTCCCATGTATCTGAGCAAAAATATCTAGTAATAAATATCTAGTATATATATTTTTTAGATTCTTTGTCAAGTTAAAAAGCCCAGCCCCTCTGCTCCTGGTCTTCACCTCCACTCCTGAGTCCATTCACTTCTCCTCCCCTTCTCCCTTTCATTAGTTTATTAGTTTATTCCTAGTCTGGCCAGCAGATGGCGCCAGAGAACACAGGTGAGCCGGTGCGTCTGCTGCTGCACTAATTTAATTTGGTCCAGGTGCACAGGCAGATAAACCAAACCAGGAATGTGAAGGGAAAACACAGAGACACTAACGGTGAGTAAATTTACCTGCAAAATTTGTTTTTAAGTTGAGTTAAAGCAGTAAAATGGTGTTAAAACCCATATAAAAGTAATCTGTCTTAATTTAGATGCAAGATTAACATTCTGTTTAATTTAAGTAAGTACAGTGAGAAGCCTTAATGAGATTTAAATGCAGTTGGCTGATTTATTTTATGAAATTCCCCAATTTAAGTTAAAAAGTAAATTGGTGAGTAAATTCAATGTAAGTTCCTAAAATGTTAAATAAAGCTAAATTGAATAACTAAATCATTTGATTGATAAATTGTTTAAATATAATCTGATTTAAGATAAATGTTGTAAAATGTACTAAGTTAAAGTAGCACTAATTTAAAAATGTATATTATTTAGCAATTAAAAAACAATTTATTAATTCATTAAAATTGAATTGAAATTGTCTTAAAATAATAAAATATTACATTTATTTCATATAATTAGTCATTTAAAATTGCATAAAAAATAAATAGATTTTTAAAAAATGTATTGGTAAAATGATACATTGGTTAAAATTGTAGCTATTTAAGCTCATGTGTAAAAGGTACATTAGAAATAAATATTATAATAAATATTATATATAAATAATACATATTATAATTGAAGTATATTAATTCAAATTCAAATGGATTAAATTACTAATGAACTGGTAAAATGTAAGTTTAATTTAATTATTAAGCATATTTGTTTACTTTAAAGGTTTTCTAACTACTACTGCTACTACTACAAATACTACTACCACCACCACTGCGGAAGAAACTAAACAATTTCAATAAAAATCTTCAAGCTGAGTTGAGCCTTGTGTCTGTTTTCTTGGTTTTTCAAGTTGGACCTGCATTCTTTAATTAAAGACATGTCTTGAGTCTTTATTTCTATGTAAAATGAATATTCTGTTTAATATAAATATAGTGGTGAAGCAAGTGAAGCTTCATGAAGAACGGAGACTTTTCTAAATTGTGCCAAAAAAAAAGATTCAAAGCTTCAAAACTTCAGTGATGGTGACATCTGGTGGACAAATGTAGCCATAACAACGTCTAAAGAGCTCGACTGACGCACTGGATCTGTTTCAGTCTCATGAAAAGTCTGTGGTCATTCAAGGGTCTTGTTCTTTCAGACCAAATTATGATTATATTATGATTACAATAAAATATGCAGACGCTCTCCTCATACTCTAAAACACATCCCAGATTAACACAAAGAATTAATGCAAATTATATTAAGGGTTAAATGTTGGTTAAAGTTTTATTTAAAGCTTTGTGTTTATTTAAAAACTACTAAAAGTCCCTAACAGGATTAGAGATCCTTCCTACTTTGCAAATGATCATGGTGTTTGAATTCAAAAACATTCTTTTTGTGTGTTAAACATTTTTAAGGAAAAACCTTTAAAGGTACTGGTTTGTCATTTGGGGACTTGTATGGTTGATTTGAAATGATTATTCACAGGAGAAGACAAGTTATTTGTCTTCACATTGCTCTGCATTAAACCTTATTTGGGTGTATGACATCAAAATTATCCCAAACTACAGAACGTCGCTTATTGGTGTTACTCGCCATGAAACTTGCCAAAATACTCACTCTCCAAATCTCTATCTCCTCACAGCCCCATTTTGAAGCCTAATGATGCACCTTATATTCTTCTAGAGCTGTTATGGCCCCAAACTACTCAGATCTGTCAAACCTGTTCAACATTTTTGAAGCAACGAAGGACAAAGCGAAACAGAGATGATGTTTGAAGCTTCGAACGTCATCGGTCACGTGACTCTGGTGTTTTGATACAAGCTCCGACACAGCGTTTTGAATCACTTCACTTCAGGAAGAGCGACACAAACTCCAAAGCCTCGGTGTCATTTGTCCATCACTGCTCATACAGTGAGAAGTCTTAGTTTGATTTAAATGCAATGGGCTGAATTATTTAATGAAATGTCCAAATTTAAGTTGATAAATTGCATTTAAATTAATTAATCTACTTAAGTTCTTAAAATGTTAAAAGATAAATTGAATTATTTGATAGTTTAAATATAATCAGATTTATGATAAATGGTGTAAAATGTCAAGTAAAATAGCACCAGTTTTAAAAAGTGTATATTATTTAGCAATTAAAAGATATGTATTTATTAATTAAAATTCTATATAAAATAATAAATATTGCATTTATTTCATATCTCGTCATTTAAAACTGTATAAAAAATAAGGTATATTTAAGATTAAAAATGGTCTGGCCTTCAAAACAAATAATTTCTCCTTTCTGCTCATACAAACCTCCCAAATACTGTCTTTATTTATTACAAACAGAGTCAAACAAATTAACCTAAAACCGTTAATAATAATCTGTACCTTTCCCAGAGCCGTGAGCAGCTGGAAGTCGATGTTTCTTCGATGTCTCAGGATCCTCAGAATCCCGTCCAGATAAACCTGGTCTTTACTGAAGCAGCCTGGAAATAACAAAACAAGATAATATTAGCATGTTTTATTTTATTTTACATTTGTATTTGATTTATTTAATTAGTGAGGTCTTCACTACAACACTGCTGCTTTGTGACGTAAGCGTGATTAGAGTTTATATTAGTGTTTCTGGTGTTGCTGACCTGGTTTGGAGGTGTCGGTCTGCCCCCTCTTGGCCCGGAGGCAGTACTCCCAGCGCACCTCGGGGCTGCTCACAAACCTCTGGATGTGGTGGAAGAGCTGAGTGAAGCTCATGTGGGAGGCGTGGTGCACGGTGTAGTAGAGCAGAGCGGCTCTCCAGAGGAAGGGCTGTTTCCGGAGCAGGACGCTGTGCAGAGACGCCAGGCCCTCCTCCGTGGGGTTGGCTCCTCTCAGACCCAGAGCCTTCCGCTGGTCTGAGGACGACCACGGCTGCAGGTTGTTGTTCACCCCGCGCAGGTAATGTGTGCCTGAGGAGACGGACGTTTAGAGGAATATTTGACTGTACAGATGAATCTTTCTAAATGAACAGTGTCTGTGTTTGTACCGATCTCATGGCGGAGCATCCCCTCGAGCCAGTGCTGCCGCGCCCCCGCCAGGTTTATGGTCAAAGTGGGACGGCAGTTTTCTATCACCATCACCGCCTGAGACAGGAGCTCATCTGACAGACGGACTACCACCTGAAAGAAAGCGAGAAAGAGAAAAGAGGAGAGAGGCATAAGGGAGGGGGAGGAGAGAGAAGGAAAGCACCATCACAACTTGAGACAGGAGCTGTGAGAGATGAACTACCACCTGAAAGAAGAGAGGAGAGGAGAGAGGGATGAGAAAGGAGAGAGGGCACCATCACCATCTGAGACAGGAGCTCATCTGTTAAACAAACAACCTGAAAAGGAGGAGAGGGAGAGAGAGTCGAGACAAGAGTGTAACATAGAGAGGAGAGACAGAGAGAGGGTCCAGAGAGGTGGACAACCACCTGAACTAACCAGTTGGTTAAATGGGCGATTGAGGTGATTGTTCATCCTCAGAGCCGCCTGGACTCTCTGTACTCAAGACACTTACAGACGATGTGCCAGAGTATTCTAAAAGACGTACAACATCCACTAAACTCAGAGTTTCAGCTGCTTCCCTCTGGTCTGAGGCTTTTAGTCCCAAATCTAGAAAAAATTGTTTTAAATGGAGCTTCGTTCCAGCTGCTATCGTATGGAACAAAACCATTCTGCACTGGAGCTCTGTAACACTTTATTTTGTAATTGTGTTTTTATACGTGTTTATTGTTCATAATGTGGATGAATGAAATGTGAAATGTGGAACCTGCCTCTCAAATCCGCGAAACAAATTCACCTACGGGTACGAATAAAGGAACATGACCTAACCTAGCTAAAGGAGGGTGAGCGATAGACCACCACACACAAGCATAAGGTTAAGGTTTTACAGAAGTGTACTATAGATAACCCAGCAGACAAAGGTGTCGTACCTCTCCCACACAGCCCTCCTTCTGCAGGTACTTCCTCACCGCCGCCCACACCTGGCTCTTGGGTAAAATGGCTCCTCCTGTGGCCTCCTCGAAGATTTCATAAGAGCCGTACTTCCTCAGCACACACTCCATGATCCCGACGGCCTGAACAGCAACAGGAGCACAGGTCAAGAAAACCAACGTGATGAATGTAACCATGGTTCTATGAATCCCAGAAGACCACCAGAGGGCAGTGCTCAGAGTATCAAATGACTCCCTTCGTGCATGAACAATCATTCAGTGTTCTCACTATATACATATATACATATTTATTTATCAATGTATATTTCAAATCGATTCAATATGGTTCAATGAAAAATAAAGGCTAAATCCTGGCTGTGATACTAAAAGTCTTTATTAAACCACTTTTTGTGTAAAGTGAATATGAAACACATTTCATCATCAAAACTCAAATATCAAATGTGTCACATCAGCGAGTTTCGTTCCTCTGAACAAGCAAAACTGTAGCTGTAACAAAATAATTTAGTAAAATACACCAAAAAATATACTCTTAGTGACACTGGTTTTGCCCTGATGAAGCTGAAGGGCTGAAGGGCCGAAACGCGTTGCCGTGATTTTAACTTTATCTGCCATGTGGTATTAAAGGCTTTTAATTATTTTGTACTCTTTGAGTGCCTCAGTTTTTTCCTTCTCTTAGCGATATTATCGATACAGCAGCCCACAATATCGATACTGTATCAACATACTAAATGATACGGACATTTCGATATTTTTGCTGACCCCTACTCAACCCCGATTTCTGCTGGTCAGAAGGGATGAAACTGAATTAGTGTGAAAATAATAATTATTATTCAATTCACTATTTAATTATGTAAAGCGTCTTTGGGGACAGAAATGTCTGTGAAAGCGCTATATAAATAAAGACTGACTTACTTAATTCATTCTGTCTTTCATTACAGTCTCACCTGCTGTAAGAACAGGTCCGATCCCACTCTGTATTTCTCCAGTACGGCCGACAGCTCCGCCTCCTCGTACTCAAACTGAGGCTCATATTTAAAACCCGACTCAAAGAAGCGATCCTTCTCCTGCTGCAGGTTCGTGGGTCGCAGCGCCACCAGGAGGCAGGGTCGAGAACTGGACGAGGACTTGGGGATGTGAGGCAGCGACGTGGCCGGACGGATCAACCCCGCCCTGCTCCTCAACCCCGCGTTCACCGACATGGAGCTCTCGCTGCGCCGAATGAACCCGGACTGGGCGAGGCTGGGGCTGGTCTGGCTACGGGACGGGGTCCAAGCTCCGCCCCTCCACGGCGGTCTCAAAGACGCCCGCCGGTCTGAAGCAGAGGCTGGAGAAGGCTCGGACGGACAAGACAACTCCTTCCTCAGAGTCTTTCTAGAGGGAGTTCTCTCGAGAAACTTTGAACTAGTTTGCGGTTTTGTCGGGGACGTCGACGTGGGTTGAGGCACTAAACATGCGTCCGCCATCTTGTTTTGAGGCGTCACAGATAATTCAGCAGCATTTTTGCTCGTGATTACATCCATTTTGTCAACTGAAGGGGTTCTAGGGACAGTCCTCGGTTTTGTTGAAGTTGCCATATTGGTTTTGGGCGATGAAGCACTGTCCTCCTTTTTGTTTTGGGGCGTCACAGACAATTCCGTAGCATTTTTGGCGGGACTTTTTTCGATTGAAGAACACTTTGAAACAGCCTTGGCCATTGAAGAAGCCGTCGCCATCTTGTACTGAGGCATTGAAGACATGTCACTAGTCGATCTTAAAGGCATTTTGTCCTTCGATGGAGATTTTGTTATTGGTTTAGGTTTTGAAGGTAGCGCCATGGCACATTTGGGCAGTGAAGCCTCATCCGCCATCTTGATTAGGGGCGCTCCTGGTCCCGGCAACGCACCGATCGAATATCTAAACGCTTTCTTGTCCATTTTGTCACGGGAGGGCGATTTCGTGATGATTTTTGGTTTTGTTGGAGACTCTGAAACTCTTTTGGGCGTAGAATCGCTACTTTTGACCCTGTTTTGGGACACAGAAAGAGACGCGCCGGTGTTTCTAGTTGGCGTTTTGCTAATTTTCTCAACCGACGGAGATTTCGAAGAGGATTTTACTCTTTCGGTTTTAGCCCTTAAAGAAAATGCATCCGAGTTGTTTAGGGGCAAATCCAAACGATCTGGTTTTGCGATGGTTTCTTTTACAAAACCTTCGGAACCATTTTGATCCACTGACGATAAAAAATTTGTTGCTGACTCTTCATTTTTTGTTTCTTCCGGCCCCAAAGAAGCAGCGTCCAGTTTGTTTTTAATGTCTGTAATTACATTTTGTTCACAATTTAGTGTTAAAGATAATTCCAATTGTCCAGCAGTTGCGATAAATTCTGTGTTGTTTTGATCGGCTGACATTGTGGGCTTGCTCCTCCCATTTTGGGGCAGTGAAGCCGTGGAAGTCATATTGCTTTTGGGCGTCTCAGAAACTTGCTTTGACAATCCGTCGACGTTTTTGCTGTCGATATTGCCCATAGACTTGTATTCAATGATATTTGTTGGCGTCAGTGCGGTTTCCAGTCTATCGTGACAAGTTAGGACCACTCCCATTGCATTTTTAGAATCTGACGCAGTATTTAAGTCACTTTTTGGCGATAATCTAGCTTCAGTTTCGTTTGAAGAAGCCATCTTAAGTCCTTTACTGGTCAGCGAAGAGATTTCCAAGTTGTTTGCGGTCACTGAAGGCATCTCTAGAGCGTTTCTGTCCAACAAAGCTGATTTTTTCACGACTGTGGGTGATATGTTGTAATCCTTGGAAATGTCAGGTAAAAATGTGGGAGATTTTTTGTCATTCTGGGGCATTGAAGGCAACACGGCGGCGTTTTTGTTAACTATAGTAGATTGCAGAACTCCTTCCACGCTGGTGCTGTCGTGGGGTGGACACTGGACCGGCGAAAGTTGCGTTTTCATAGCGTTCTCGGGCGTTTTAAAAGTCTCTAGAATATTTGAATGGTTGGAAACGGGCGCAGCGGGGTGCTGAGGGGTTGAGGGCGACGCCATCTTTGTTTTGGGCACTGAAGTTGAGGACTCCATGTCATGTTGGGGCGTCCTCCTCGAACGCAGATCCGTCCTCTTGAAATGCTCGATGCTGATTGGTGCAGAATCCAGACGCATCACCACTAGAAGGAAAAAAAGTGTAATTAATAAAGTGTAGAAGGGACAGATAATACTCCCTACAACTGTCCAACAACTCACCCTTATGGAACAGATAATACTCCCTACAACTGTACAACAACTCAGCCTTATGTAACAGATAATACTCCCTACAACTGTCCAACAACTCACCCTTATGGAACAGATAATACTCCCTACAACTGTGCAACAACTCACCCAAGGGATTTATGAATTCCACGTATTGTCCTGAATAACTCAAATTTGATGAATTATGCCTTTTATTGTTGTAAATCTATCATTTTGATGCCTGTGCACTCATAAATAAATAATGGTTTAAGTTTTATATTTCACTGTACCTCATCTAAGTCTTGCCATGGTTCTTATGTATCATCTATTTCCTGTGACCGCTAAAATACATAGCTCTCTGGAATTTTTGTTTTGTAAAAGTAGCTCAGCCAGAGAAAAAGTTTGGAGACCCCTGCGATAATGTATCATCACATTAAATGATACGATATATCGATATATCGATATTTCAACACACCCCTACTCCTAATATAGAACTTGTGTCCAAGTTTGCTCCTATAAATGCAGCCACGATGAGCTTCATTTGACTGGAGCGACCGCTGTACAGTCTATTGGAGCAACACACACATCAGACACACAGTGCACCTCTAGTCAGTCTCCTACAAATACAAATTAAAGGTAAACTCTAACCCTGGTAGAGCTGTTGCGGTTAGGGAATTTCTCCTGCGGTGTGGTATAGTGACTCAACGCCGCGGTATGCAGTCATGATATTTCCAGCGGCTCTGAAAACTCTGCTGCACTGATGATGCACTTGTTGCGCAGATGCACATGTCCCTTGGTTGTCGTGTGGACATAGTGTGTGTGTAGTGTGTGTGTTGTGTGTGTGTGTGTGTAGTGTGTGTGTAGTGTGTGTGTAGTGTGTGTGTGTGTAGTGTGTGTGTAGTGTGTGTAGTGTGTGTGTGTGTGTGTAGTGTGTGTGTGTGTGTGTGTAGTGTGTGTGTAGTGTGTGTGTGTGTGTAGTGTGTGTGTGTGTGTAGTGTGTGTGTAGTGTGTGTGTGTGTGTAGTGTGTGTGTGTGTGTAGTGTGTGTGTAGTGTGTGTGTGTGTGTGTAGTGTGTGTGTGTGTGTAGTGTGTGTGTAGTGTGTGTGTGTTGTGTGTGTGTGTAGTGTGTGTAGTGTGTGTGTGTGTATGTGTGTGTAGTGTGTGTAGTGCTGTGTGTAGTGTGTGTGTAGTGTGTGTGTGTAGTGTGTGTGTGTGTGTAGTGTGTGTGTGTGTAGTGTGTGTGTAGTGTGTGTGTAGTGTGTGTAGTGTGTGTGTGTGTGTAGTGTGTGTGTGTGTGTAGTGTGTGTAGTGTGTGTGTAGTGTGTGTGTAGTGTGTGTAGTGTGTGTGTAGTGTGTGTGTGTGTGTGTGTAGTGTGTGTGTGTGTAGTGTGTGTGTAGTGTGTGTGTAGTGTGTGTAGTGTGTGTGTGTAGTGTGTGTGTAGTGTGTGTGTGTGTAGTGTGTGTGTGTGTGTGTAGTGTGTGTGTGTGTGTAGTGTGTGTGTGTGTAGTGTGTGTGTGTGTGTGTGTAGTGTGTGTGTGTGTGTGTGTGTAGTGTGTGTGTAGTGTGTGTGTGTAGTGTGTGTGTGTGTAGTGTGTGTGTAGTGTGTGTGTGTGGTAGTGTGTGTAGTGAGAGAAGTAACATTTGGCTTTGGAACAAGTGTCGCTGCATCTCTCCAGCTCTTACTGTGGCAGCTCAGGTCAGAGTCCTGCACCAGGTCGGGTCAGAGTCCTGCACCAGGTCGGGTCAGAGTCCTGCACCAGGTCGGGTCAGAGTCCTGCACCAGGTCGGGTCAGAGTCCTGCACCAGGTCGGGTACCCGGGGACTTAAGAGAGAGAAAACCCCGAGCACGAGCACGCAGAGCAGGTGTCCGCAATGCGAGATTGGGCGACGGCCGCACTTGCACTTAACTCCGTGCGGCGCGGAGTTCTGCACCGGTCCTTTCGCCTGCGGTCACCAAACGGTCTACGCAGGTGCCCCTTAGTCCTGGGTTAGTCCTGGGTTATCATGGGCATGGGCGGTAACGGGTAGAATGTTACCGGGTCCGGGCGGGTGTCGGTCTCTAAAAATGGACCCGTGCAGGACTCTGGGTCGGGTCACTTTGGTTAAGTACGGTGATCGCGGTGGACCTCTTAGTACTGTGGTGATTCAGTTTTGTGGTTATCGCGACAGCCCTAAACCCTGGTCTAATTAATGAAAGTGTTTTAGCGCTCAGCAACGCCCTGAAAAACATGTATTCTTCTAACAAAAGACCTGTCCTGTAACTTGGATCTGCTCGTCACCAGGCAAAGCACTAACATAAACACTGCCCTGGAGATCACTAACATAGACATTTCCATTTATATAACACAGGCCCAGAGTTGAACATGGAGCACGGAGCGTAATATCAAATTGCTGCATTGTTCTGACAGCGGTTTGTGAAAGCGGATACAGGCGGCTCTATGGACGATAAAAAGAGACAGGAGCAGCGAGCCGTGAACCATGATTTAACTCTGCAGCGCATTCATGTAAAGGTGCACTGTGGAACTTTTCTGGTAGCGGCTCTGTCAAATTCTTCTTTCCGCAGAGATGCTATTGCTTTGTCTGGAATGGTTCCCAATATGTAATTAATATTAATAATAGGGATGTAACAATAACCCAACAATAAATCGAATCACAAGTCTCTTTGCTTAAATGCAGGTTTTACAGTAGCAACAGCTTATAAACATCGTGAACTACATATCCCATGATTCATTTCAGCGCAAACAAGAGAACAAATATGTTTTTTACTTGAATTCTTGGGATTATGACGGAAATAATTCACAACGAAATCTTGTCAAGGCATTTTAAAAGCAAATATTATATCAGCCTCTTCAAAATATCGCAATAAATATCGTACCGTGAGATGCATATCGTGAAAATATTGTACCGTGAGATTTGGATATCGTTACATCCCTAGTATTAAACCTTTCTATCTTCATGTAGAGGCGACTCCACTCACGAGGGGTGTGCAAAAATATTGAAATATCGATATATATCGTATTGTTTAATTTGATGATACAGAACAGATATCGTGGGCTGCTGTATCGATATATCCCCCAGAGTATTTTTAGGTGCATATTACTGAATTATGAGCTACAATTGTGTTGACATTTTCACAGTTTTGATGAGTAAAATAGGTGCTTTACATATTAATTTTGTACTTAGTGGACTTTTAGTATCACAGCCATGATTTAGCCTTTTTTAACTGAGCCGTATCGAATCAATTTGAAATGTATCGTATCAAATCGTATTGAATCAAAAACGTATCGTATCGAGGCCTGTGTATCGAGGTATGTATCGTATCTGCAGCTTCTTAATGATACCCAGCCCTACCGTTTTTCTAGGTTTTTTGGAGCTATAAAACCACCTGTAATTGAATAAAAGTAAAGTAGAGGTGTTTAATGTCACACTGTGGAACATTCCAGGCAGAGCAATGACGTATCCATAGAAACAAGCAGGTGACGGAGCCCCAATGAAAAAGTTACAGACAATAACCTGCAAGATTAAGCACAATTTGAACGGACGCAATTCGCAAATCATAAAAGCGGCAGTTTCCGAAGGGCCATAATTTCCTCCACAAACAACAAAATCCTCTGTCTAATTCTGCATAAAAACCCTGTCGTTTCGATCTGTTCAAACATGTTCTGAAACGTGATCCTCGTTTTAGTTTCAGCTTCGTATCAGCTCGTGTTTCAGTTCAGATTTCAGTCTTTTTGTCAATTCTTCTGGACGTGTTTAAGGTGTGAACTTTGAACTGAATCGTAATACTATAATTAGGGGTGTGCGGAAATAATGAAATATCGATATATCGTATCGTTTAATGTGATGATATAGTATTGCTATCGTGGGCTGCTGTATCGATATATCAAGTTTTTTGGTGTATTTTACTAAATTATTTTGTTTCAGCTACAGTTTTGTTGCTCCTTTAGTGGAAGGAAATTTGTTTATGCGACACATTTGACATTTTCACTGTTTTGACGATTAAAATGTTTGTGTTTCATATGAACTTTGCACAAGAAGTGGTTTAATAAACACTTTTAGTATCACACACATGATTTAGACTTTATTTTTTACTGAACCGTATCAAATAGGGATGTAACAATAACTGAAATATCATTAAGTTCCTTTGCTTAAATGCATTGTTCTTTAGTAGTAACAGTTAAAAACAAAGGGAACTACGTATCCCATGATTCATTTCAGCACAGATAACATGAAGAAATATGTTTTTTACTTGAATTATCATAGTAATAATTCACACCAAAATCTTGTCAAGGTAAAGCAGAAACATGTCCTATCTACAACTATATTTGCCGCTCCAAAATATCGCAATAAATATCGTACCGTGAGATGCATATCGTGATAATATTGTACCGTGAGATTTGGATATTGTTACACCCTTAGTAGTTTGTACTAAATTAAAACCTTGTACCTGTAGTTTAGACCTTTTCAAACATGTTCTGAAATGCATAGGATTCTTGGATTAGTTTGTATGTCTTCTCTCAATTCCCAAAAAATCGTCCAATCCAAATAGCTGCATTAGATTTTAGGATGCAGTTAAATTATACTTGAAATGCAAAATAGAAAGAAATCCGGTATGAGATATAAAAACGGTAATAACTATGGATGTAACGATATCCAAGTCTCATGATACGATATTTTCACGATATACATCTCACGGTACGACATTTATTGTGATATTTTGTGGAGGCTAAACAGGTAAAACTGTTAAAATACCTCGACAAAACTTAATCCAAAGACCTAAGACTTAAAAGTGTTAGAACTGTTATTTTTTTCTTGTCGTCTGCACTGAAATGGAGCAAAGGATCATGGTCTATGTAGTTCCCTCTGTCTTTTAGCTGTTGCTTCACCAGAACTCTTCATTTCTGCAAAGAGACTTACTTGTAATTCGATACATTGTGATGGTCCACGATATTATTGTGAAAACTTTGACCATACGATATCACGATATTTCGATTATTGTTACATCCCTAGTAATAACTACTTTATAACACTATAACACACAGAAGTAGGAGTGTGCAAAAATATAAAAATATCAATATACTGTATAGTTTAATGCGATGATACAGTATCAATATCGTTGGCTGCTGTATCAATATATCGCCAAGAGTGTATTTTACTACATTATTTTGTTACAGCTACAGTTTTGTTGCTCATTTAGTGGAAGGAAACTCGTTTATGCGACAAAGTTTTGATGATTAAAATATTTGTGTTTCATATGAACTTTGCACAAGAAGTGGTTTAACAAACACTTTTAGCAGACATTTTTTTATTGAACCCTGTCAAATTGTTTCGAAATATATCGTATCGAATCGAAAGTGCACTGTATCAAGGTAAGTATCGTATCGTGGCCTATGTATCGAAGTAAGTATCGTATCAGCAACTTCTTAACGATACCCAGCACTAGTTTAGATTTCTTCAAACACGTTCTGAAATGCATACGATTCTTGGATTAGTTTGTATGTTTTCTCTTAAATGCACAGTGAGAGGAATTCTACATTTTAAACAAATATGGCTTTTTTTGTTTGTTTTTTCTCAAAATCGTCCAACCCAAATATCTGCATTAGATTTTAGAATGCAGTTAAATTATACTCGAAATGCAGAATAGAGAGAAACCCAGTATGCAATATTAAAAAAAACAGTAATAACTACTTTATAACACTATAACACATAGAAGAAGGGGTGTGCAAAAATATAAAAATATCGATATATCGTATCGTTTAATGTGATGATACAGTATCAATATCGTGGGCTGCTGTACTGACATGTCGCCAAGAGTGTATTTTACAAAATAATTTTATTACAGCTACAGTTTTGTTGTTTGTTTAGAGGAAGGAAACTCGTTTATGCGACACATTTGAGATTTTCACTGTTTTGATGATTTAAATGTTTGCGTTTCATGTGAACTTTGCACAAGAAGTGCTTTAATAAACACTTTTAGTAGACATTTTTTTATTGAACCGTGTCAAATCGTTTTGAAATATATCGTATCGAATCAAAAGTGCACTGTATCGAGATATGTATCGTATCGTGGCCTGCGTATTGAGGTAAGTATCGTATCGGCAACTTCTTAATGATACCCAGCACTAGTTTAGACTTCTTCAAACATGTTCTGAAATGCATACGATACTAGTATTAGTTCAGATTTCAGTCTTCTCTTAAACGCACAGTGAGAGAAATTCTACATTTTAAACAAATATCGCTTTTTTTTGTTTGTTTTTGGGGTTTTTTCCCCCAAAATCGTCGTGCATTAGATTTTAAGATGCAGTTAAATTATACTCGAAATGCAGAACAGAAAGAAACTCAGTATGCGATATAAAAAAAAACCAATAATAACCACTTTATAACACTATAACACATTGCGGTTAGAAGTCTATAAAAGTGTAATTTGATCCCCAGTGGATTCAAAACGAGCTGAGCAATAAATTAACATTCTGTGCAATATTTCTGGTTTTATATTGCGCTAAAAAATTACCAAAAAAAAAGGCATTTGCTGGATTAAATATCGACATATTCAACAGATATTTTTTCACTATATATTTCTTATTTAATACAATAATTTTATTCAGAAAAAAATATTTATTAACACAAAAAAATACCATAGACTGTCAGCGTTTTAATGACGTGCACACGGGTTCAAATGTTGTTTTATTTATTTATTGGTTGCATAAAAGTCCAGTAAATGCAATAATAAACAATGGGTACTTTCTATTTAAGAACTCCAATGACTTCCCCTGCTTCTGCGCGTTTAACGGTAAAATAAAGCGGTTATTTGTCGGGTTTTCGGGCGGTAAACGCGGCTCTTACCTCCGTGCGGCGGCTGCAGACTTTGTTCCGGGTGTTACGGTGCCATGGCGGGGCTCCGGGGCGGCGTGGACCCGCAGACAGGGCGCTGGGAGCGGGTAACGGGACAGCGCGGGGCCGCGGGGCCGGTGCAGGAAGCGGCGGAGCGGTGTTGGCAGAAATGACGCAGCACGCACGGAGGGGGACGCACGGTGACGACATGACGCAGGCGGAGGCACGTTTTTAAAAAGACACGGACGAAAACAAAACAAACCCGAAAACCGGATTAGTGCTGAAAATTAAACTGCTGCCATTTGGTACGAATCCACACCATGTAAAAAATAAAATAAAATAATAATAATAATAATAATAATAATAATAATAATAATAATAATAATAAGAGCTACACTACGTAATTTTTCTAGTGTGATCCACAAGGGAAATTATAAAAAAAAATATATAAATGGTAATAATAAATTCTAAGTAAGGAGAAACAATTATTAAATAATTAATTGTTAAATAAGACATAATTATATAAATGTAAATGTACATAAGGGTGAGTTGTTGTACAGTTGTAGGGAGTATTATCTGTAACATAAGGGTGAGTTAGTACAGTTGTAGGGAGTATTATCTGTTACATAAGGGCGAGTTGTTGTACAGTTGTAGGGAGTATTATCTGTTATATAAGAGTGAGTTGTTGCACAGTTGTAGGGAGTATTATGTGTTACATAAGGGCAATATTAAAAAAAAAAAAAAAAAGTTTATACAATGGAAATGTTAACGGCTCGACTACAGCTCAAGGTGCCGACTTTTGAAAAGAAGTGACGTCCAATTATTGACTTTTTCAAATCAGACACTTATGCCCTAACACAGGGGTGGGCAAACTTTCTGGCTCGCAGGCCACATAGGGTCCTAAAGTTTGACTGAAGGGCCGGACAGAAGACAGGACATAACGTGTTAAGAGCTCAGATTCATTACGTTCTTATTCACATTTATCCAGGACTTCAGACGCGCTACACGTTTCATCACTGCTTTGAAAGATTCAGAACAAATAGAACTGTTGAAATCTGTTCCACTGCACATCACGAGTGAATATTCATCTTAAGTTCACCGTTTTCAAATACGACTGCGACAGGTCATACATTACGCTGACAACGAACAACCACAGACACACACCTTTGAATATAACCATATATGACGTCATATAGTAGTACACGTTTATTACTACAACCCGAAGTTAATTGGTGTTTATAATTGATTTTAACGAATTTCAACTGGAAGCAGTGCATTCTTATATCTTAAGCACCAACTACTTCACTCATGGTCTATATAACTCCTGCAAGAACACTTTCCCATAAAGCATTGCGGCCAACATAATACGCCGCAACTCAATGTATATATAGTGCGCCATCTACTGGGAAACGCTGGAAATGAAATAGTTGGTGCTTAAGATATAAGACTGCACTGCTTCCAGTTTGAGTTGGTATAAATCAATCAGAGACACCTATAGACTCAGTTGTAACTTTTAATGTGTACAGCATTGTGGAATCAAGTTTTGTCACACTCACAGGTGTATATCTGTGGTTGTTTGGCGTGAGTTTTGTTTTTGAGCTTCGGAAACGGTGAGCTCACGATACACGTTCACTCGTGTTGCGCAGTGGAACAGGTCTCAACAGTGTTGTGTTCTGAATCTTTCACAGCAGTGATAAAATCTGAAGTCCTAGATAAATGTGAATAAGAATGTAATGAATCTGAGCTCTTAACACGTTATGTCCTGTCTTCTGTCCGGCCCTTCAGTTTAGGACCGTATGTGGCCGCTCGAGCCAGAAATTTTGCCCACCCCTGCCCTAACATATCTTCTTATTAGTATAATTTTTTATTTATTTATTTTAACTTGTTTTTTTTCTTTCCTTCTTCTAGAAAGGGGTGAGAAAAGTAAGGAAGTAAATAAAAGTAAATAAATTGTGTGAAGGCCCAGTCTCAGTCAGGACACTGTTGATGTGAACTGATTTGTGGCAATAAAAGTAAAAAAAAATAAATAAATAAATAATAATAATAATAATAATAATAAATAAATAAATAAATAAATAAATAAATAAATAAATAAATAAATAAATAAATAAATAAATAAAATAAAATAAAAACAAAACTGTGAGCATGTGTTTGCAGATACACTAAGTTATACAGTGCACCTTTAAAATAACATTTCAGTTGAAAATAAATATAATAAATTCCTAATAAAAGAGACGCAATTCAAAATTCTGGAAAAAACAAACAAACAAACAAACAAACAAAACAAAAAAACAGATCTTTCCACAGAAACGTTGTAAAGTTTCTGTTATTATTGCTCTGGCATGTGTAATTCACATGAACAGCCACTAGAGGGAGGCAGTGCTCCTGACTCCAGCTGAGTCTGTTGTGTAAATGTAAATGTGTTTGACGCTCTTAATATTTCTCCTTATATTATTAAAATCCAGAATCGTTGTTAATTATAAACATATAGTCTATGTTTTCTACATTACACATTCACTTAAAGCCACAACATGTAACAACAGGACTGAATCAGGACTAAACCAGGACTAAACCAGGACTAAACCAGGACTAAAACAGGACTAAAACAAGACTAAAACTTTGCGGACACACACTGCTCCACAGACTTGGGGTTTTCTCTCTCTCATGTCCAAGATTAGTCCTGGTTTAGTCCTGGTTTAGACCTGGTTTAGTCCTGGTTTAGACCTGGTTTAGTCCTGGTTTAATCCTGGTTTAATCCTGGTTTAGACCTGGTTTAGTCCTGATTTAGTCCTGGTTTAGTCCTGGTTTAGTCCTGATTTAGTCCTGGTTTAGTCCTGGTTTAATCCTGGTTCAATCCTGGTTTAGACCTGGTTTAGTCCTGGTTTAGACCTGGCATAGTCCTGATTTAGTCCTGATTTAGACCTGGTTTAGTCCTGGTTTAGACCTGGTTTAGACCTGGTTTAGTCCTGGTTTAGACCTGGCGTAGTCCTGATTTAGTCCTGGTTTAGTTCTGGTTTAGTCCTGGTTTAGTCCTGGTTTAGTCCTGGTTTAATCCTGGTTTAGTCCTGGTTTAGTCCTGGTTTAATCCTGGTTCAATCCTGGTTTAGACCTGGTTTAGTCCTGGTTTAGACCTGGTTTAGTCCTGGTTTAATCCTGGTTTAGTCCTGGTTTAGTCCTGGTTTAGTCCTGGTTTAGTCCTGGTTTAGTCCTGGTTTAGTCCTGGTTTAATCCTGGTTCAATCCTGGTTTAGACCTGGTTTAGTCCTGGTTTAGACCTGGCATAGTCCTGATTTAGTCCTGGTTTAGACCTGGTTTAGTCCTGATTTAGTCCTGGTTTAGTCCTGGTTTAGTCCTGATTTAGTCCTGGTTTAGTCCTGGTTTAATCCTGGTTCAATCCTGGTTTAGACCTGGTTTAGACCTGGTTTAGTCCTGGTTTAGTCCTGGTTTAGTCCTGATTTAGTCCTGGTTTAGTCCTGGTTTAGACCTGGTTTAGTCCTGATTTAATCCTGGTTTAGACCTGGTTTAGACCTGGTTTAGACCTGGTTTAGTTTAGTCCTGGTTTAGACCTGGCGTAGTCCTGATTTAGTCCTGGTTTAGTTCTGGTTTAGACCTGGTTTAGTCCTGGTTTAGTCCTGGTTTAATCCTGGTTTAATCCTGGTTTAGACCTGGTTTAGTCCTGATTTAGTCCTGGTTTAGTCCTGATTTAGTCCTGGTTTAGTCCTGGTTTAGACCTTTAGACCTGGTTTAGTCCTGATTTAATCCTGGTTTAGTCCTGGTTTAGACCTGGTTTAGACCTGGTTTAGACCTGGTTTAGACCTGGCGTAGTCCTGGTTTAGTCTTAGTTCAGTTCTGGTTCAGTGTGTATCTGCACTTAACACTGTGTCCAAAACAAAAGAGTGAAGTATTTGGTGTAAATGTGATGTTTGCTCTGTTCATGGGCCCGGCCCTTTCATGGGATCATAACAATGTTTTGGTTTTGTTTTCATGGTGGTGATTTGGTTAAAAAAACTTCCTTCTAAACCAAGACCAAACCAGGACTACACCAGGTCTAAACCAAGACCAAACCAGGACTGAACCAGGACTACACCAGGTCTAAACCAGGTCTACACCAGAACTAAACCAGGACTAAACCAGGACTACACCAGGTCTAAACCAGGACTAAACCAGGACTATACCAGGTCTATACCAGGACTAAACCAGGACTATACCAGGTCTAAACCAAGACCAAACCAGGACCACACCAAGTGTAAACCAAGACCAAACCAGGACCACACCAAGTGTAAACCAAGACCAAACCAGGACCACACCAAGTGTAAACCAAGACCAAACCAGGACTGAACCAGGACTACACCAGGTCTAAACCAGGTCTACACCAGAACTAAACCAGGACTAAACCAGGACTATACCAGGTCTAAACCAGGACTAAACCAGGACTAAATCAGGACTAAACCAGGACTATACCAGGTCTAAACCAAGACCAAACCAGGACCAACACCAAGTGTAAACCAAGACCAAACCAGGACTGAACCAGGAATGAACCAGGTCTAAACCAGGACTAAACTAGGATTAAACCAGGACTAAACCAGGTCTAAACCAGGACTAAACCAGGATTAAACCAGGACTAAACCAGGTCTAAACCAGGACTAAACCAGGATTAAACCAGGACTAAACCAGGTCTAAACCAGGACTAAACCAGGTCTAAACAGGTCCGTGTGTGTCACTCATTAACTCTGTTGATAAGTCGTGTGAAAGTCGCAGCTGCAGAAACACGAGGCCCAAACGACAAAGAACAAACACAAGGTCAAAACACAAAATACAAAACGAACAGAGTGAAAAAAGGAAAATCACCAAACAGTCTGAGAATTAAAGCCACAGTACGTCACTTTTTACTCACAAAATAAACTAAAGCTTGTTTTTTTCGTGTTGGATGTTTTTATTTGGTTGAAAATGTCTTGGGTCAGTTCTTGTTTGGAGGCGGCGCTCGGTGAGTTCAGTCTGTGTGAGGCGCTCGCATCTCCACAGACCTGACCTGGGCTTGTTTCCATGGAGACTTTGTTCCTTTGACTCTAATATTCCACAGTATGACAGAAAACCTCTCTCTGTCCACGGAGGAAGAGCGGGACTAAACCAGGACTAAACCAGGTCTTT